CAGTCTGTTTCATGCTATATGCAATCGTCAGGCCACGATTGCATCTAGCATAAAAAGCAGACTATATATATATATATATATATATATATATATATATATATAATATTTTGATTAAAAATATGATTCCTTCGCTACATAAGAGTTCTCATGTTTCAAAAACGAGAGCCGAAACCATCCAAATAATTATTAAAATTAAGTTGAATTGTGGTGTTTAGTCCCGTTTCATCTTCAAACGAAATTTTAGGAAATTTATTATTATAATAAAGCTCTACTTCTGTATGGAGCACTGTCTTCTTAAAAATAAACCAAAAATACTAAGGAACCCTGAATTATGCACCCAACGTGTTCTTTTCTATTTTCTGCATACCTGCGCACTTAAACACACACACACACACACACACACACACACACACACACACACATATATATATATATATATATATATATATATATATATATATATATATATATATATACAGTTTAAAATACTTAAGACACCCCTGGTAATTTTTTACATTGGCGCAAAAAAGTAGTTGCTTTGTACTTTAAATAAGAGAAAATTATTATGTATGGTTAAAAAGTGAGCCATGATTTTTTTATTAGAAATTTTATTATGACAAAAAGTAAAAAGGTAATTTTGATTAAATTTTGCTCTCGTCAAAATATCCTTCTTTAGCCTTGGTTACTGCAGCACAAAATTTTTGGCGTCCGTTGCAAAAGTTTCTCAAAGTATGAGTTTGATAATTGATTCCATTCTTTTTTCAACCACTCTAAGAGATCTTTCTTTCTCTCTTCTCTCAACTTTATCCTATTCTCATTCTGTGGGCGGCTTCAAACTTTTGCATAACTGTAGTTTTATATATATATATATATATATATATATATATATATATATATATATATATATATATATGTTATCCATAAATATATAATCATAGCCCGAGGCAAACTATACTTGGCAAAATACTTAGACTTTTATAAGCACAAGTTTATATGCATGTGTATAAATAAAATGCGTTTTGTTTTTCATTTGATACAAATCCTTCTTGTCTCTCTCTCGAATGGGGTTTTAGTGACTGCTTTTATACTGAAACTCGTTGTTACTTCCAAATGTTCTCGTCTCGCGTCCACCGAAACCTTCGCAATTTACAGACAAACGTATGCCTGCATATACTGTCATCGTAGACAAAATTACACGCTCGCTTTCTTTTCCTTTTAGCTGTAAACCGAGATCCTCGCCATGTTTCTACTTCTCTTCTTATCTGTCCGTCTCTTTCTTTTACTTTCTTTCTTTCTTTTCTTTTCTTTTTTATCCCCGTGTCCATCTGTTTCTTGTTAAACAGACATGCATTTTCATCTCAAACTTCTACACAGTGTGCCGGCGAGACGACCACAACTATTCAAGCTTTGTCTTGATACCCTGGGCCAATAATCATATCGTATATATTTTCGTCATTTTCGGTATCTCTCCTTAAGCAAAGTCGTAACTGGACCGTCTTTTATTTCCTTCAGGCTGTGGTCCCTCTGAAAACGAAATGCCAGGACAATCGTATCTGATGTTCAGGTAAGTGAAATATTTTCTTTTTGATTTTTGTTTGATGATCTTATTGTGAAATTGTTCCAAACGGAGAATTCGCCAACTGAGGAAAAACGGCCTTTCCGGTTAAAATGAGACATTTGAAATTTGCTTTAAAATATTCACCGGTTAAAATCGAATGGTTAAAAAACTTTGAACGATTTCAACGGTTAAAATATTTCTTCCCAGTATTTTTGTTTTATTTTCTATTTAAATTTTATTTAAGGCAGACAAAAACAAAAGATAAAAGGAAACAAAAGATAAAAAGAAACAAATGATAAAAGGAAACAAAAGACAAAAAGGAAACAAAAAAGAAAAAAGGAAAATGTTTCCTTTTCAAAATGATCTTGAGTTCTTATTGCCAAACAGTTTCGAAATGACAATTTTCCCAAGTGAGGAAAAAAGTAAAATGAAACATTTTTCGCTTTTTTATTCGATTAAAATTGAAAAACTTTGAACGTTTTCAACTGAAAATCTTTCTTCCCAGTTCTTTGTTTTATTTTCTATTTAAAAAACAAAAGATAAAAGAAATAAAAGAAACAAATGATAAAAGGAAACAAAAGACAAAAAGGAAAGGAAAAAAAGCCTTTCCGTTATTTAAAAGTTCTTATTGCCAAACAGTTTCGAAATGACAATTTTCCTAAGTGAGGAAAAACGGCCTTTCCGTTTAAAATGAAACATTTGAAATTCGCTTTAAATTTATTCACAGGTTAAAATCGAATGGTTAAAAAACTTTGAACGTTTTCAACTGTTAAAATATTTCTTCCCAGTATTTTTGTTTTATTTTCTATTTAAATTTTATTTAAGGCAGACAAAAACAAAAGATAAAAGGAAACAAAAGATAAAAAGAAACAAATGATAAAAGGAAACAAAAGACAAAAAGGAAACAAAAGATAAAAGGAAACAAAAAGAAAAAAAGTAAAATGTTTCCTTTTCGATTATTGATTGATGATCTTGAGTTCTTATTGCCAAACAGTTTCGAAATGACAATTTTCCCAAGTGAGGAAAAACGGCCTTTCTGGTTAAAGTGAGATATTGAAAATTTGTTTAAAAATATTTACCGGTTAAAATCTAACGGTTAAAAAATTTTGAACGATTACAACGGTTAAAATCTTTATGTTTCTTCTTTTGTTTTATTGTCTATTTAAATGTTTCTTAAAGGTAGGCCAAAAAAAAAAGGAAATGACTTTTAAAATCAAATGGAAGATCAAAAATCAAAGCAAAAAAATGGTCTTTTGACAGACTTATGCCTTAAAACAGGTTATGTCCTCATCTTTGATGTTTTTACCATAACGTTTTTACCAGAGTTCTCTCCGTCTCAATTAATATATCACATCGGGTCCGAAATGATTCGATAATTTCTGTTTGAATGTTTGGGTCGAGGAGTTATCATTATTTACATTATTTGTATGCAAACTTTTTTTCCACATCTTTTTTTATCTTATCACGACGTTTCGGTAATTGTGGACTCCGGTCTTCATCAGGTTTTTATCTATCCGGATAACCTTCAGGGAATTTCCAGCTGAACCCCGATTTTTTTAACTACTTGGATTGATTGTTCTCGCCTTCTCTAACTATATCTAAGGTTATCTCGTCTAGTTCTTATTTCAATACTGCTGAGTTACTGCTAATCTCGTTTCCATTGGCTGTGACTACTAACCGGCCCTGGGATTGAACTCACGATTACTATGTCACCAAATCCACGAAACAATATCTGAATTTTGGTGTGTAATCGTTAATTGGATTATTTACATTTAAAATCGTTTTTGCTATAATTATAAGGTTTGGTACGTTTCGGCGTCGCCCATTTGGCGTTGCTGATTCGGCGTCAGAAAAATAATTGGACTATTTGGCACATCGATTAGGCGTCAGATTGTTTCGACTTCACTGTCTTTGACAGGAAGCACCCTCCGCCCAAAAGGATAAAAGAATTGAAAACAACCAATATGGAGGAATTAAGGATCCAATTAAAACACTAATGGGTTAATTTTCAGTTTAGCACCCACGCCCAGCTGGCATTAAAAATTCCCGAATAGTTATATTTATGTGTAATTGTACATGCTTAATTCGAAACCGGCTTGATAAATTTGATAAATTCTACCGTTTTGGAGTTATCGACATTGAATGTTCGGATTCATTCGTGTCGTTGGCGGCTGCCATTACTGGCGGTATTTGCATACATTCGCTATGGAAAGGTAAACGCGGAAGAATGTAGTTAACAGGTTTTGTTTTTACTTGTCCCAATTACTGGGCAAGAGAAGTATTTACGTACACACGCTCAATTGTGCGCTGCGTGCGTAATAATCAAGACAAGTCAATATTACACTCGATAGCTATTCCGCAGCGAATATATGCAAACAACGTCAGTAATGGCTGCCGCGACACGAATGTGTTGTAGTGTCCGTCCTCTAAAGATTCTATGTTGAACTCTTCCGCCTACTATAAGATTAGTAGGAGAGTAGGCCTTGGGGGAATAGTCGAATAGATTGTTCATTACTGTCGAACTCCCTGCCTTGAGCAGAGAGGAACCCGGACGAGGCTTTGCCGAAGGGCAAAGTTTCGTCCGGGGAGGTAGACCGGCCCTGAAACCGTTTATACGGGTTCTAAGGGAATATTTTTGGCCGAGCCTACGGGCTCGGAGAACACACGGTAAACTGGGCTTTGTGCTACATACACCCCTCGTTGCGGGGGGGGGGGTTAGGTAGCTGTTAAATATTAACAGTCTAATAGATTGTTCTGCCGAGGCTGTGAGTTTTCGCAGCTGCTGTCTCTCTGCCTTTGGGAACCCGGACGAGATTTTGTCGAAAGCAGAGTCTCGCCAGGGGAGGTAGACAGACCCAAACCCGTTTATGCGGGTTCTACGGGGATTTTTTTTCGCCGAGCCTACGGGCTCAGATAACCCACTAAACTTGGCCTTGTGCTACATCGTGTGTGGGGGGTACTAAATATTAACAGTCGAATATATTAAACGCTGGGTCAACCGACACACACTCACCACTCGTGTAATACTCCTCTGTTGTACTTACTGTTTAATATATGATATATCTGCAACACTTATTTTATTATATCTTTAACCATTTACTTGGTCACACCAGAATGAATCCGGAATTTTACTGTTGATAACTCCAAAATGGTAGATATCAAATTTATCAAGCCAGATTCGAATGAAGCATGTACAATTTACATATAAACTTAAGTATTCGGGAAATTTATATTGCAAACTTAGTGCCGATGTTACACTGCAAATTAACCCACTAATGGAATGATGTAAATTAAAAACTTAAATTAAATCACTTTACATCGATCTTTCTGTTCATATCGCCAAAAATTTAATTCAGGAATCCTCTTGCTCGTTGCGTCAAAAATAAAAATGTATCCATAGTGTATCACTTTGTTTCTTCCACGTTTTGATAAAATATTTACTTCCATTTTGGAATAAAAAGGGCTTTGACGACTGAAAAATATGAAGCTGACCTGAAGGAAACATAATATAAAAATGCGTCCAAATACTCTTTTTCTTAAATTGGACTATTCGAGCATATAACGACAAAGTACTAATTTGGCTACTAAACGGGAGCGAGAGAGAGAGAGAGAGTGGAAGAGAGAGAGAGAGAGTGGAAGAGAGAGAGAGAGTGGAAGAGAGAGAGAAAGTGGAAGTGACATAGAGAGAGAGAGAGAGTGGAAGAGACAGAGAGAGAGTGGAAGAGACAGAGAGAGAGAGTGGGGGAGAGAGAGAGTGTGTGGAAGAGAGAGAGTGGAAGAGAGATAGAGAGAGAGAGTGGAAGAGACAGAGAGAGAGTGGAAGAGACAGACAGCGAAAGAGAGAGTGGGGAGAGAGAGTGTGTGGAAGAGACAGAGAGAGAGAGAGTGGAAGAGACAGAGAGAGTGGAAGAGACAGAGAGAGAGAGATAGAGAGAGAGAGTGGAAGAGACAGAAAGAGTGGAAGAGACAGAGAGAGAGAGATAGAGAGAGAGAGTGGAAGAGACAGACAGAGAGAGAGAGTGTAAGAGACAGAGAGTGGAAAAGAGATAGAGAGAGAGAGTGGAAGAGACAGACAGAGAGTGGAAGAGACAGAGAGAGAGAGAGAGATAGAGTGGGGGAGAGAGAGAGTGCGGAAGAGACAGAGAGAGAGTGGAAGAGACAGAGAAAGAGAGAGATAGAGAGAGAGTGGAAGAGACACAGAGAGAGAGAAAGTGGAAGTGACAGAGAGAGAGAGAGTGGAAGAGACAGAGAGAGAGAGTGAAAGAGACAGAGAGAGAGAGAGTAGAAGAGATAGACAGAGAGAGAGAAAGAGAGAGAGAGAGTGGGGGAGAGAGAGAGAGCAAATTTGACCAAAACGTGGAAGTAGTAATCTGACGCCTAATTGTCTCTCTGCCGAAAAATTCCTACGCTTGAACGCCCCATTCCCTTAATTATAAAACATTTCGGTCGTTCTGCATTCCGACCTTCTTCAGGTGTCATTTCTAACAGAACCTTTTATTGAATCGACGGGGAAAGGTTCTTGTTGTTCCTCTGTCGAAGCCCGCGAAAATATCCGAGTTGATTAAAGAGTTGATTCGAGAACTTGGGTACATATTGATGGCAAGTTCAATCCCTGGGTCGGGTAGAGTAGATTAGGTTGAGTCTCGGGGGTAATAAGACTAACAATAAATGAGCAATGCTGGAAAAAGGACAAAACAATTTCCTCCCCAGGCGGAAATGTCGTGATTAAAAAAAAATGATAAATAAATAAATAAAAGGAGATTTAGTCTGGCTTTAAATAATTAAGAAGCAAAAGCTTCCTTAGAGTTGGTTTTGATATTAAATCTGGCTTTATATATTCGCACGAAGATTAACTAATAAAATCTGGGCAGTTTATCACATCGATATCTATGATAGATATGAGCCGGTTGAGATAGATAAATAGATTCCAACAGACTTCGAGAGATAGATAGATAGATAGATAACTGGTAGAAACAGTCTAATATATATATATATATATATATATATATATATATATATATATATATATATATATATAGAGAGAGAGAGAGAGAGAGAGAGATGGACAGACTGAGATAGACAGATAGATAGATGTGGACAGATAAATTGAGAGATAATGACTGATAGAAACAGACTGATATGTATATATATATATATATATATATATATATATATATATATATATATATATATATATATAAAAGATAGATAGATAGTTATGAACAAACTTAGATAGATAGATATGAACAGACTTAGATAGATAGATGTGGACAGATAAATAGATAGATAATGAATGACTGGTAGAAACAGACTGATATATATATATATATATATATATATATATATATATATATATATATATATATATATATATATAGATATATAAAGATAGATAGATAGATAGATATGGACAGACTGAGATAGATATATATGGAGACTGAGATAGCTAATAATGACTGGTAGGAACTGACTAATATATATATATATATATATATATATATATATATATATATATAGATAGATAGATAGATAGATAGATAGATAGTCGATCACTGATTCCATTTACATATTCTTGTTTATATCTTATATCTTCGGAAAGCGTGTGTCTGATGTTATCATAAAAACAGTTTCTCTTTTCCGCGCAGCTAATTTCTTGTGTCTCCTTACCCACTTCCTGTCTCCATGCATCGTCCTCACTCGCCTTCCATTAAACGGAAATTGAATCCAGATCGGCTTTCCTTGCAAACAGGGGATTTCGGATGAATTTACAATCTTATTATTTATGGAGCCAATCATTATATTCAATCAGTCTGCTACAGGTGACTAGACAGATCAGAATCCTGATTTATATCAATGGACTGAGATTGAAAATTTGACAAGGAGAGAGTTGAACCTGCAATTCCATAGATTAAAAGCGGATAAAATCGATAGTAGCTTGTCTGATCGATAAATTGCCAAATCAAATGAATGTTTTAATCATAGGCAGGGTATACATTACAGGCTAAAATATGCGTCGTTGTTGTACAACAGACGTTCTGTGAGAAGAGTGTGCTGCTTTGACATTTTAGTGTCGGTAGACCTTGACTGGCTTGAAATATATATATTTCATTTTCATACATTCTTTATTCGGCGTATATATATATATATATATATATATATAACGTCATCCACAGACAGACTGTTTCGCTGTTTCACAGCTCATCCGTGTGGCTAGATATCCGGTTGCCTCTAGCTAGGATCGAAACCCGACTGAATTAGTGTCAGTCGGAGATTCTAACCACTAAGCCGTCGGCGCACGGTAAGGATGAAAGTGGATTTTTTTAGCGTATTTATTTTTAGAAACACGCCCAGACCGACAGTGACTCAATTCGCATCTGCGAAGAGTCTCGCTATATAGCTATAATAGTCACTGTTTACCAACCCACACCTCGTCCTCAGAGAGCTCAACTGAAATTGATATTTCAGGAGTCAATATTATGAAATGGACAAAGTCCGACAATTATTTTTAAGATGTTTTTTATATTTATACGTTCTTTTCATAGGTACAAATATTTAAGTAAATGCTCTCTTTATAATAAACAGTATTAACAACATTTACCGGCCTGAATGTCCATGAAATTTTCATAGAAGATATTCATCCTCCGGCAGGAATCGAACTTGTATCCTATCGGAACCGTCATATAGCCTGACGTGCCTTTACCGATAGGGTCACAGTAAAGCGTTAGGTTAGCAAGGTCGATTTTACTGTTTTTAAAAACAATTCTCCATAATTTTCCCTCATTCACCCATATCTGCTCAATGCGTATTCAAATGTAAAAAGAGCAGTACACTTAAATAAATCTATCTATAAAAAGAACGTATAAACAAAACAAAAAATGTCTTAAAAATAATTGTCGAACTTTGTCCATTTCATAATATAATGTATGACATCATTTGTTTAAATTTGGATACACATTGATACACACCAGAAACAACATCGGACAAGAGGGTGGGATTGCACAAACCTTGCTCACTTAAATCAATTTAATGTGCAGGTATCATGCTATGTAATGTGTAATTTGGCGTTGGATCACGACGCGAGAATCCATGCATATATATATATATATATATATATATATATATATATATGCCATATTATATTTAAGGATATATATTATCTCGTAGCAGCCTTTGCAGCAGAAAACAGATGGCGGGCATTGGACAATAGAGCGGAAATTGGAATGCACAAACCTTTCTCACTTAAATGCATTTCAGATGCAGGTCATTCTATGACGCTAGATAACTCCTCTACTCTGCCGAATGGACTTATCGATAATGTGTCGATGGAATACTCATGCGTTTGCTCACGGCGCGAAAGAAAAAATCCATATATATATATATATATATATATATATATATATATATATATATATATAAAAAAAATATACAGAAAAACAAATAAAAAATCTTAATATGCAATTATGCTGTATTAATGTTAATATAAAGTCAACGTCGGACGTTTCGGTCTATTTTAGACCATCATCAGGACATGTTTTTCTTTATATTTTTTTCTTCATACTGTCGGATCTATATCCATATATTTGCTTATATATATATATATATATATATATATATATATATATATATATATATATATATATATATGAAATGGGACAAAGTCCGACAATTATTTAAGACATTTTTTATGTTTATACGTTTTTATCGATACAAATATTTAAGTAAATGCTCTGTTTATAATAAACAGTATTAAACAACATTTACTGGCCTGAATGCCCATTTCATAATGTATGACGTCATTTGTTTACATTTGGATACGCATTGAGCAGGTATGAATGAATGAGAGAAAATCATGGAGAATTGTGTTTAAAAACAGTAAAATCGACTTTGCTAACCGAACGCTCGGTTAAGGCACGTCAGGCTATATGACGGTTCCGTATAGGATAGAGGTTCGATTCCTGACGGAGGACGAATATTTTCTATGAAATTTCTCGGACATTCAGGCCGGTAAATGTTGTTAATACTGTTTATCATAAAAAGAGCAATTTACTTAAATATTTGTGTCTATAAAAAGAACGTATAAACATAAAAATGTCTTATATATATATATATATATATAATGAAATGGACAAAGTCCGACAATTATTTTATGACATTTTTTATGTTTATACATTCTTTTTATACACTGCGTGCCAAATTATTATCGAGATAACTTTTTTTCTAATATTTCAAAAACCGTCCAATCAATTCACACAAATTTTTCACCCAATGCTGGCAACACTGATCTGCGCAAGCACTGAAACTTTTGTACTGATCTGCGCAATGTAAACAAACTGGCGCCATATTTGTTATGCGCACGGTGATTTGAGCGTGCCAAATTATTAGAAAAGTATAAGAATTTAGTGAAAAGATGGGCCGTAAAAGCAGTTTAAGTGATGCCGAAAAGAAAACTGTCACCTCAGAACTCTCAAAAGGTAAATCTACCGTAGAAATGTCTAAAATGATAGGGAGGTGTCATCAAACAGTGAAAAAGTTCACCGCCGACCCTACACAAGTACGCAAAAGGGCAGATAAAGGCAAGCCGAGGGTTATTTTACGTCATCTCATGTCACAACTTAAACGAGAGGCCCCGAATAACCCTGGACTTACCAATCAAGAGCTTTTCAGTCGCATTGGGGATCCTACTGTGTCTAAAAGTACTCGGTGTCGCTATCTGAGGGAAATAGCAACAACAGTCAAACCTGTATCGAAGCCTCCGTTGACGTGAAATCACATTCAAAATCGATGGAAATGGGCCGAGGACAATATGAAGATTGACTTGAAGTTTTGTTCACAGACGAAGCTCGAGCAACACTTGATGGGCCAGATAGATGGTGCAAAGGCTGGGTAATGAACAGACAGAATCGCCATCAGCGTTTGAGACGCCAACAAGGTGGTGGAGGCATAATGATCTGGGGTGGTATTATTGGAAAAACATTAGTGGGTCCATGGAGAGTACAAGATGGCGTCAAAATGACTGCTGATGCATACATAGCGTTTATGAAGGAGCATCTTGAGCCATGGATGAAAAGGCAAAGAGTTGCCTTCAGAAGGGCCATTGATTTTATGCAAGATAATGCTCTCTCACATACTGCTCACAAGACCACTGAATATTTGAAACAGTTAGGCTTCGATGGACCTCGAAAAATGAAGTGGCCACCAAATTGTTCGGATTTGAACTCAATCGAAAACCTTTGGAGCATCATGAAGCGAAGACTGTACGCCAACGAACGACAATTCAGAAGCAACGCTGAGTTGTGGGAAGCAATTCTTGACATATCTCTCGGCATTACAGCAGATGACATCCTACAATTAACAAATTCTATGGATCGTCGACTTATTCAAGTAATTTCAAAACAGGGAAAGCACATTCCCTATTAATTTGTTTAAAACTGTGCCTTTGTTTGTATCTGTTATTATTTGTTTGATTATCTTATTTATTAGCTTCTTTTGATCATAAAAATTCACGTGCAACATTAGTAAACGTTTTGTTTGCTCAATTCTGGGAATTTTACTAAACCTTTCTAATAATTTGGCACGCGCAAATCAACGTACGCATAACAAATATGGCACCAGTTTGTTTACATTGCGCAGATCAGTACGAAAATTTCAGTGATTACGCAGGTTAGTGTTGTCAACATTGTGTGAATTGATTGGACGGTTTTTGAAATATTAGAAAAAAAAGTTATCTCGATAATAATTTGGCACGCAATGTAGATACAAATACCCCGGACCTCTACCGACTCATTAATCATTGTCTACACCCGACACCTGGCTTCTATGCTAATCAACTTTTAACTGGGTGATCAAATTCTTTATTTTTCTCATGCCTTAAAATTCTCTTATCACCAGATGCACATTTTCGGGACGCTATGTCTGGTTCAACAGGTCTGAGCAGGCAATGTGGCTTCATTGGTTTAAAATTGTTTCTTTACCAGGTGCTGTTACATAAGTTATCTAACTTTACCTGATGAGTAATATATGCGTATACACACACACACACACATATATATATATATATATATATATATATATATATATATATACACGTATATATATATATATATATATATATATATATATATATATAAAAAAAGAACACCCCTAAAAAATCATTAAATATACGAGGAAAAAAATGCCGTAAGAATTTTAGCCGTTAACAATAAAAATTTTTTTTTTTTACATCCAGACGACATGCTTTTAACGGATGTTAGATTTCATTGAAAAATACATCACTACCCACTACCAAAACGTAGCAATAACTGATACATTAAAATATAGACACCGAGACAACCCTTGTCTGGTAAATTGGATTCATCTGTAACCTTGGAAACATGAATTATGATTTTAGTTGTGTCTTTAAAACCCAATAATTTTAAAAGTTACTCCAAAATTCGCTTGAGGATAAAATGGAACTAATGTCTTTAATTTAACTACAAAATTAAATTCGGGGCTTTTAGCTTCCATTTTTGAAACATGGTTAGAACTGTGTAGCGAAAAAAAACATATTTTAAATCAATTAATATATATATATATATATATATATATTCATTTATTGTTGAAACCGTTTGGTCTGATGAGACGAGTCCGAGGAACCGGTCTTCTGAAATAAAATATTATCATGGGTTTCTAAAGTCTCCGCTTTCATCATCATTATTACTCGCTCTGTTCTTAGATTGAGCTTTCTTTGGATTTATATCCTCTTAAGAATTATCCATACAAATTATCAAATAAATATTATTATTATTTACATTATATATATATATATATATATATATATATATATATTGAGTGAGAGGGAGAGAGAGTAAGAGAAAGAGAGAGACAGCCAGACAGATAGAATGGGAAACATGAACAGATTGGTAAATATATAGATAAATATGAAATAATAATAATAATAATAATAAGAAGAAGAATACTTATTATTAGTATTATTATTACTGACGTCATTACACATAGATATGAACATATTGAGGTAGATATATAGATATACATGTTGCAATGGATAAATTGTCGTCTAATTTACGAAAAAATAAAAAATAACGCTGGCATCTCATTTTAACAGATATATTTACCAAAATTACACAAACGAAAATCTAGAGAGTAAATTTCTTCAATAAAATCGCCATTGGCTTCGACCACGTCCTCCAGACGACATCAGAATCTCCTGCAACTGTTCTGGACAGTCGCTTCTTTTAAGTTTGTTAATACTGCCATAATCATTGCCTTCAGTTCCTCTTCAGTTTTACGAGGAGGTTTTTGGTCTCACGCTCGACTGCGCCTCAAGCATAATAATTAAGGGGGCTGCAGTCTGGGGAGTTAAGTAGCCAGCTGTAAGGGGTGATGTGGTCGCAGGAATTGTCTGAAAGCCAAGACTGGTTTCTCTTGATTATGTGACATGTTGCAGTGTCCTGCTTACAGACATAGAAACTTCCAGCAGCCATCCTCTTGACCCAGAGCAGCAATACCTTCTCAAGGCACTTCATGCAGACGTCAGTGTTGAGTCTGAGACCCTATGGGAAGCAGAATGGAAGGAAGCATAACGTCACCATCACTAGTGAACACTTCAAATAACCATTAGCCACATCCAACTCTTTCCAAATCTTCAGTACAGCCCTCGGATTGAAACCCAAACACTTTGAAATGTTTGTATTGGAGCTTCCAGTGCCAGTGATAAGCAGTACAGTATGTCGTTTACAAATTACATCATGGCGCTTATTATCTCACACACTATACTGTGTAGTGAAAAAAAAATCAAAAATAAACAACGCGCATGCGCAGAATTAAAATATAATATGGCGACAATTTAACCATTGTACCCTGTATATATGTAATAATATTAATTATTATTATTATTATTATTATTATTATTATTGCTGTCACTGTGCATAGATAGAGATCAACTGATTGAGATAGAGAGATCGATAGGTATGAAATGAGATAGATAGATAGATAGATACGAACAGACTGATATATATATATATATATATATATATATATATATATATATACAGAATAAGATAGAGAGATAGTTATGAACTGAGATCTGAGATAGATATGTACAGGTTGAACTAGATAGATAAATAGATAGGTATGAAAATGCCTGAGGTAGATATGAACAGGCTGAAATAGATAGATAAATTGATAGATATGAACATACTAAGATATATATATATATATATATATATATATATATATATATATATATATAGGGAGAGAGAGAGAGAGAGAGAGAGATAATGTACAGACTGAAATAGATAGATAAATAGATAGATATGAAATGCCTGAGGTAGATATGAACAGGCTGAAATAGATAGATAAATTGATAGATATGAACATACTAAGATATATATATATATATATATATATATATAGGGAGAGAGAGAGAGAGATAATGTACAGACTGAAATAGATAGATAGATAGATAGATAGATAGATAGATAGATAGATAGAAATAAACTGAGATAGATAGATAGATAGATAGATAGATAGATAGAGAGATAGGAATAAAATGAGATAGATAGATAGATAGATAGATAGATAGATAGATAGATAGATAGATAGATAGATAGATAGGAATAAAATGTGATAGATAGATAGGAATAAACTGAGATAGACAGATAGATAGATAGAAACAAACTGAGATAGGTAGATAGATAGAAACAAACTGAGATAGATAGATAGATAGATAGATAGATAGATAGATAGATAGATAGATAGATAGATAGAAATAAACTGAGATAGATAGATAGATAGATAGATAGATAGATAGATAGATAGATACTTGAAGAGAAAACCGCAAATAACAACGCAGAATTAAGATTAATATTAAGCGTCTGTCGACTGGACATTTCAAGTACCGTACTCAGGTGTTGTCTGAAGATCTTTGACCAGAGATAATCACTCCCACCGTCATCTTGCCTCGTTTGCGACGAAAATATTAATGGATTCTTTTGTCCGAATGTAGGACACAACATGAATGCTGTAATTGAACTCTGAAGAGTTCTACAAAAAGGAATAAAAAAAAAAATCTCCCTCGTTCCGGTCGTAAATAGATCCCTAGATGTTGCCTAAGAGCATCGGAAGTATAAAACCAAAAACCCCTGAAAACATATTGTGACCACTAAATACACTGTTAAGACTATCGCTTTATCAACAACCAATGTTCGCCTAATGCAAGGTTACAGAATGTACTGCTTTCTTTTGTAAAATGCCCAAGAGCCGCTCGAGGTAGAGGGCTACAAAGTAAGAGGTACAATTTACGGAACTTGTATCTCTCTAATTAAATACGAAGGGAAGGTGGGTGGTTCTTACGGTATGCGTGGCACGGCTGGTCTTTGCAGTGTAGTTCGTTTGATCAGTTTACTTCGATAGCGATAGAGTAGTGAGAGGCTTGGGATGTTTCCTCTACTTGAAAGGGTTAGGGTTAATCACCCACAAGGACGCGAAGAGCCTTGATTTCCATCAAGACTGAAAAGTGAAATATATATATTTGTGTGTGTGTGTGCGTGAAATATTTATGTATATAAATAGAAAATATATATATATATAGAGAGAGAGAGAGATGGAGAGAGAGATAATATTAGTGTTCAATATTCATTACATGCATGCATATATATATATATATATATATATATATATATATATATATATATATATATATATAAATTCCCAAGGATAGAATCCAGGTAGAACTCAATGTCCAGAACAGAGTAAGAATATAAAAAAAAAGCTCAAACACTAATATTCCATGGAATATATATATATATATATATATATATATATATATATATATATATATATATATATATATATATGCAATTTTATACATATAATTTATATATTATATATGCGCGGTACTTGTTGGAAAGCACTCCAATGTCAGTGACAGAGCTAACAGTTGGGTTGATTTGAGTTTGTAACCCAGGGTTTCACGCTTTTTGCAATCGTCAGACAAACTGATTGATTTTTAAATTTTGTATTTATATAGGATTGCGTATATCGGTGTATTTATGGAAGTGGGAGGAAAATTCTCCTTGGGACGCCACTCATACTTACGCAAACATACATACACACACGTACACTCATCGATGTACGCAGGCACACACAAAGGCACGCTCATTCACCGGAGCTCACACAAACATAAACATATGTGAACAGTGTGGGGCTGGGCATTAAACATATCTAAACAGTATGAGATTAGGCATATATATATATATATATATATATATATATATATATATATATGTCATATTCAAAACCTGCGGAGGGTCGTTTGGGGACTTTGTGGCTCTTAGTGCACCAGGTCTCTGTATTCAGCCTTTCAAAAAGTATGTATGGTCCTGCACAAAACCTTCACTACTATAATCAAATCTCATGTGCTGTTGTCGGGCTGTCGGTTTCCTAGGAACTGATCTGCTTGACCCTCATACGTCGAACTCGACAGGAGAGTCGATTTATTATATCATATATATGTCATATATATATATATATATATATATATTTATATATATATATATATATATATATATATATATATATATATATATATATATAGCATAAACAGTGGGGAAATAGATATTCGTATACATGATAAATTGTATTTTTATAAATGTAAAAGCCTTAACTAAAACAAATTTTGATACATCTTATGTGTAAAGATACATTTTATTAAAAATAGTAATAAACTAAATTCTTATTCTAACAGAAATTAATGCATTTTTTTCATTTTAACTGATGAAAAAAGTATTTGTACAAAACAAAAAAAGCATATTAACTTAATTTAATACTTTGTGGAATATCCTTTATTGAGTTCAACAGCTACCAGTCTATTCCTGTACGTCTCAACTAATGATTTGCACACATTGAGTGGTATTTTGTCCCATTCTTCTTGGCATATTGTCTTCAAATTCTTGATATTTGTTGGTGCTCTTTTCCCAATTTGAATTTTCAAATATCGTCATAAATTCTCGAATGTGTTCAAGTCTGGGGACTGACTTGGCCATTGCAAGACATCAACGTTACTTTCAGCTAACCATTTCCTTGTAGATCTAGCGGTATGCTTAGGATCATTATCCAGTTGGAAAACCCAATGTGGAGGTAGACGAGGTCTCTCAACAGAACGCATTAAATTGTCTTGCAGGATTTTCTGGTAGCCTTTTGGCATTCACCTTGCCATCTATTATTCATATTCTGCCAACACCTTTTGCAGAAAAACAGCCCCAGATCATTATTCTGCTACCACCAAACTTTACAGTTGGCAACGTGTTCTTTGGTAAGTAGGCTTCACTGTCCTTCCTCAACACATGATTTCAATAATTATGACCAAACAACTCTATTCTAGTTTCATCCCTCCATAGTACTTTTTCCCAAAACGAATATTCTTTATCCTTATGCTCTCGCACGCAGATGTTCCTGCAGCTCTTCTCGGGTAACCTGTGGATTTTGTTGGATCTGGCGTCCTAATATCCTTGCTGATCTTAGAGAAATCTTCCTCGGAGCACCTGTTCGTCTTTGGTTTTTGGACGCTGTTACGAGTTTTAGACCTTACAATGAACGAAGCAGTTGTAGTAAAAGAAATATTCAGGTTGTTAGAAATCGTTCTGTAATTGTTCCCATCTTTACAAAGAGACAAAATGTGTTGTTTTTGTGAAATATTCAATTCTTTATATTTAGGCATTATTAGAATCTTCTTGTAAGACTAGAAATTGCAGAATGCTCTGATAATGACTAAAAGCGTTAACTATAATTACTGATAACATTACTGGAACATTCTAGAATATAATTTTCATAATTAATTGAATATTTTATTCTAATAATTGATTTGTACTAATACTTTTTTCACCAGTTAAAATTTTAAAAAATGCATTAATTTCTGTTAGAATAAGAATTAATTAATTTTATTATTATTTTTTAATAGTATGTGTCTTTATACATAAAATGTGCCGAGATTTGTTTTATTTAAGGCTTTTACATTTATAAAAATACAATTTTTCAAGTGTACGAATATTTATTTCCCCCACCTGTATGTCCACAGTACACTCACCTCGAGGCCGTGTAATGGTTAGCAAGCTTGTCTCGCTAGAACTATTACGACGGAGTAGTGTGTCCGATACTCACTGGGTTCCCCCTACTTTCGGCCTTGTGCAACATTTAAGCCATGCTTGTAAAATCCCTATGGCAGTAATACTCCATGACCTGACTCTTTGTAAAGGTAGAGGATGGCACGAGGATAACAGGGAATCGGCATTTTTTTTGGGGGGGGAATCCTTAGCTATGGATCGTTTGTTCGAGTTTCGCTAGAGGTCCGGGGAGAGCCAGATAGACGCTCAAGAGAAGTATTCTCCACGAAGGGACATCCATTCATCGTGAGTAGTGTTAGTTCGGGACTCGGCCGGCGATTTAGGCCTTTTAATATAGAATATGTAAACTGGCAATTTTTTTACGTATTTATGCTTTTCTTAATATATAAACTGGAAAATATGATACTCTTTCTACTATTATATCCTTTGTTTTAATTTAGAAGTAGAAATATGACACTTTTTCTATACATTTAATTTTTTAATTCAGAAATATATATATATATATATATATATATATATATAATAAAAAGGCTTAAACACTAATATCCCCTGGTCAAGTGTTTAAGCCTTTTTATTATATCCTTACTCTGTCCTGGACATTGAGTTCTACCTGGATTCTATCCTCTTGGAATAATTTTTTATACAAATATATATGTATGTGTATGTATGTATGTAGGTATGTATATTAATATATTTTAGGTATATGATTGCATATATATGTGTATATTTACCACTAATATATATATATATATATATATATATATATATATATATATATATATATATATAATTAAGTTATGAAGAACTTGGTAAACTGAATGGGTAATTCCAAGCATTGAAATCTATATTTTACATAATTTTGTTAAAACAAAACTACAGCCTCTTTCGATTCACTTCCCTCTCGCCCTCTCTCTTTGCCGTAACACTCATTTGGATATATCGGTATTACTGTCGTCTGTCTCCTCTCTTTTTTCTTTTTCTTTTCTCTCCTCCTATTCCTACATATCATTTCCGTTAAGTTAACCATCTAAATAGGTCATGGTTCGGTCACTCCTCCTACCCCAATATAAAGCATGCTTAAGAGAGATATGAAATTAACCCCTCCCTATACTCTACCTTGTCTCTTTACCTACCACTCTCACCCCACCCTGTTAAATTACAAAAATTACGCTACCCATCAATTTCTAATCCCATTTTTCCTTTCATTTCGTTGTTGGAATTGTTACCTGATGATCTGGAGTCCTTTAAAAAGGATTTTGGTGAAATAAATTATTGTAATGGTACCTTAAAGTGGTCTGTTTTTCATTATATATATATATATTATATATATATATATATATATATATATATATATATATATATATATATAAAGCTCCTCCCGCTTAACGCATTGCTCTTTGCCAGAACTGAGTGCTCTAGCTGCTGGTCTAGCTTTTATATACATCACGTATATAATACGTTAACAGATTCCCTTTCTCTAGAAATCTTAGAGGTTGTGCACCTGACTGATGCCAAATCTGTCGAGTTTCGATCTCGGCTTTAAGCAATCGGCTGTCGAGACATATATTGATGAGCTTTGATACAGCTAAACAGGCTGTCTTTGGATATATATATATATATATATATATATATATATATATATATATATTTTGAAATGATAACAGCGCACGTTATCTGTCCTCTTAGTGGTCTGGTAATGTGGTTTCAAAAGTGTGTCTTTTGTCTTCGAACTGGTTTGCGTGCCATTATTAATAGAGTTCACTTGTTACTTTTCCATCATGCGACGCCGGTTTACTTGTGTCAAATGGAAAGTGCTCAAAAGCTTTCCGGACCTCGGTGAACTCAGATATCGATCAGTCTCATTCTATATATTGATTCTACACACACACACACACACACACACACACACACACACACACACACACATATATATATATATATATATATATATATATATATATATATATATATATATAGGAGAAGGAGAAAAATTGAAAAAGTTTACTTGAAGCGTGTTTCGTCCTTGAGGACTTTATCAGATTTTGTTGTGCTGGTGCGAATTTTGGGAAAAAATTCTTTGATAATAGGAGTTCTGCTAGGATTGGTGAAATGTTGTCAGAACCCGGAATTTCTATAATCACTGAGTGGGATATCTATTAACGAAAGTAATGGAAAGACAAAGAAGAATTCAAAATTAATTGGCTGGAATTTAAAAAATGAAAAATTTAAATTTAAAATTCCCAGCATCCCTCGTTCGCGCGCATGCGTAGTCGCATCAACATAACAAATTTAGTCCGATGAACAAAAAAAAACAAACATTTTCCATTTTGTCATACATTTTTCCCTAATATTGCTCTTGACATATAAAAATATATCGTTCGTTATATATATATATATATATATATATATATATATATATATATATATATATATATGTATGTATGCATGTATGTATGATATGAATTCTACTCAGCTTCAAGAACTACTGTTGGTGAGTCTCCACTGTCTCTTTGTTAATTTCTCGCATCCTCTGATGAAGAACACAGGCGTGTCCGAAAATTCCGAACGTGGAACCTTAAGCTCCGTACTTCATTTTGTTAATATTAATAAATGTTTTTCGTACTGATCACATCGGTACCCTTTCGTTTGCTTTGTTTTATTAACCATTTTATCTACTCTATGCAATAATAATAATAATAATAATAATAATAATAATAATAAAAGTTAATGGTCAGAGATGAATTGGATCCGGAAATATTAGTATTATAAAGTTGTATCAAATCTTAGAACATTCGTAGCAATATCTGCAAACTTTGTCAGCAAGAAAAGTTAGCTATAATAACTTCCCAGACTAAAGAAACCTTTTGAATGAGGCATCGGAAATTATGACCCATTGTATACTTACTAAAAAAGCTCCTATTGAGATCATATGAAGTGGGATGAAAAGAAAGTAAGTACATTTCATTTAACCCCTTACCGATACATTTCCAATATTCTTGCTTTCCACCTCCCCTTCTGCTGCACCTCGCATCGTGTGCTTCTTTATTCATTTTTAAATAATATAGCGTTAATAAAATTTTCTTTTCTAAAAAATAAAATTAAGCGTTAGGAAATCAACTGACAGAAATCGTCTGAAGACACCGAAAGAACGAAACCGAATTAGCAGAATCGGCTGATGTCCCAATTTCTTATACACACACACACACACGCACCCATATACATAGATACATATATATGATGGACTCTCCCGTCGGTTTCGACGTATGAGGTTCCGACAACTTTGTTTATTTAACCCTGTGTGGGATTCGCAAGTGACATTTCAGTTCTATTAGAGATTTGCAAAGAAGTCCCCAGATTGTGCAAGAGTGTGGATTCTTGAAGTATATGGCTGAAACAGCAGCAGATATTTTAAACCTTTCCTTAGTTTGACGAAGCTTGACAATGTTTGATGCTGCCTTGTTCTTGATGCCATTGTAGCATGTAGTCTTCCATTCATTACGATCAATTACGATGTTCTCAAAGGTAGTGTGATTTATATTCGCAGCTAAGAGGTTACTTTTCAGCTTGTCCCTGTACCTAATTAAAGGCCGACCCACGTTTCGATGGCCATTGTCATATATATATATATATATATATATATATATTGATTTAAATATAAGGATCATATTTCCCATTTTATTGTTAAAATAGATACAAAATTATCTCCTTTAAGAAAAAAAACCTGGGATTTAAGGCTTCAAGCATATCAAAGTGGAGCCTCGGCCTAAACCTGCGTATGACAGAAATCTTGGAGTCTATTATTATTAATATGCAACGTCCTGCCCTTTATAGACAAAGGGAGATGAAATTCAGGTTGGTCCTATTCGGGGAGATTACTGCTTAACCTAGAAAATATTTAGGACTCATAGGTTGTTTTTTTTCTTCCTCTTCCTTTAATCCCCTACTTTTTTTTTTACATCTTGGTAATCTATTGTTTTTAACATCGGTCGTTGATAATAATTTTTCTTATCAATTTTTTTTTGTTTTATACTGCCGACGATTATTTTTCTGAAGAAGTGTCGGCCTTATTTTCTGGTTGTATGATGAAATTTGTTTGGCCTTGAAACATATTGCGTCATCCGTGATTGCATCAGATTTTATCACGCCCAGACACTATTGTCCCGACTGTTGATTAGTTGTCCTACGACCATTGTCTGCGATGGACGTTACTATAGGGAAGCGTACGAAAATTGTAACGCTACACGAACACAATGGCAAGCCTTAGCAGTGAGCAAATCAAAGTACTATAGACTGAACCGGAAACTCTCCTGATTTAAATCCAGTCGAGAATATGTGGTCAATCTGCAAGGAACGCCTTCGTGGAAGGGGACATACGAAGTACTAACATGTGTACTGGGTGATGTTTCAGTGGAAAAATGTTAAAAAATAGTGAATAATAACGGAATTGTTTGTTTTGTTTCAATTAATTTGAAGAAGGGTATTTATATATATATATATATATATATATATATATAGAGAGAGAGAGAGAGAGAGAGAGATAGTACAGACTGAAATAGATAATGATACAGACTGAAATAAACTGAGATAGATAGATAGATAGATAGAAATAAACTGAGATAGATAGATAGATAGATAGATAATAGATAAATAGATAATAGATAGATAGATAGATAGATAGATAGATAGATAGATAGATAGATAGATAGATAGGAATAAACTGAGATAGATAGATATGAAGAGACTGGGATAGATAGAAGGGTATATATATATATATATATATATATATATATATATATAATGTGTATGTATGTGTGTCTGTGTGCGTGAACGCATCTGTAGTCACCGGAAAATCCCAAGACTTATGCTTTGTTGATAGTTAACGTTGTGAAGATTTTGACCCTGTCTAGACCGCCTATGTGTTGAACATTTTAATTTACTGCATAGGAAGGTGTCAGCTTTTTTTTCTGTTTCTCATATTTTTCTTATCTAAGAGCATAATTATTTACTTTAATTAAAAAAAACGACAAACAGTACTTCTGCACAAGCATAGCGACACAGACAGTAAAATAACAAAATAACCTTCGTAAGAGTAAGCAAAAATGTCGAATCAAAAAATTCAGTTGATTTCTTAGAAATTACACACACAAATATATATATATATATATATATATATATATATATATATATATATATATATATATATATATAGGTAACTATACTCGTTTCGAAAAAACCTTCGAATTTTTGATTTGCCAATAATCAAATCATCCCAAGGGGAAAAAAAAGGTTTAAAAAAAAAAAGAGCTAGAAACATGAAAGTCTGTCGAAAAAATCGCACAGATACAGGTTTAAAGCCCAAAGAAAAAAACCCCGACACGAGTAAACAAATAACTAAAAAGAGCTCAATACAACCGTAGGGCAGACCTAGATAAACCTAGTGAGCCAGACAAACCTACCCAGGTACCTAAGCGGATCGTCAGGCAAAGCTGGCGCACTAGGTTTATCTCTCTCTCTCTCTCTCTCTCTATATATATATATATATATATATATACAAATTCAAATTACCATAATATAGGTTTTACTTAATTAGCTACTTCTTTCCATAATATTCCTTTCCCTCTAACTCTTCAAATTCTGAATGTATAACTAATTCCCCTCTTTACACTTTATTAATTTTAATTTATAAATTTTCTCATACACTTAAGAACTCTCTTTCCTTTGAATCCTCATATCCCTTTATCTATCTATATACAGTCCCCTCTAAATATATTAGAACGGCAAGGCTAGTTCTTTCATTTTTGTTGTTCACTGAAGACATTCGCGTTTAAGATCAAAAGATGGACATGAGACATGAGTTAAGAATCTCAGTTTTTATTTCCTGGTATTTACATTTAGATGGGTTAAACAACTTAGGACATACCACCTTTTGTTTGTACCCACCAATTTTTCAAGTTTGCAAAACTATTGCAATGTGTGACTGACAGGTGTTTCTTGTTACCCAGGTGTTACCTTTTAGATTGATTGTTTAAACATTAAACAGCTATAAATGACTACTCTTAGTCTTGAATTTCACCTGTAAATACTGCATTTCTTGTTAAAATGTTAAACCAACATGAAGATGAATGTGCTGTCTATGGAAGAAAAAGTAAGTCATTTTGAACCTGAGGAAAGAAGGAAAAATCAATCAGAGCCATTGAACAAACATTATACTGTATGAGAACCAAAATGGTTATGAATAATTCATAAAATTTCTCCTAATCTTAAGAACTCTCTTTCCTTTAATATCTTATATCACTTTATCTATATATTTTAAAGTTATTTTTAAACCCCTTTTCATTCCTCTATTAGTTTTAAATTAGTTCAAAATATTTTTTAGGGGGCACGGTGGAGTAATGGATAGCGGCTCGGATTGATGAATTTTCCCCCGATAGAATCGAACCTGTATCCTATATGACGGTTCCGTATAAGACGAAAGTTTTCTATGGAAATTTCTTGGACATTCAGGCCAGTAAATGTTGTTTAATACTGGTTATTATAAAACGGAGCATTTACTTAAATATTTGTATCTATAAAAAGAATTTATAAACATAAAAATGTCTTAAAAAATATATATATATATATATATATATATATAGAGAGAGAGAGAGAGAGAGAGAGAGAGAGAGGGAGAGGAAGAGAGAGTAAATGTAACAAATCCGTGTTGGAGGCCAACTATATTCTATCATTAAAGCCTTCTCTATGTAAACGGAAGGACTTTGTATTCGGCCTCCAACTAATTACAATCTAATTTTTTTATTAACCTCGATTTAGCTCTGTTGAGCGAAGTACGAAACCGGTTAGCTAGCCCGTTTTTCATTTTTACTTTTTAATATCATGAGTGGTAATAATAAAATTAATTTTTGTCTGTTCATAGCAGTCATATATATATATATATATATATATATATATATATATATATATATATATATATATATATATGTGTGTGTGTTCCTGTGCGTGTGTGTGCGTGTGTGGGTTGGAGGGATGATGTAGAGATATAAATGAAAGATATCTGTTATGACAATAGAAAGACTGACAAAAGGAAAACATCTCTTTGCCAAAGCGTTTCATTACCCCAGGGACTTTGTCAAGGTAAAAACGAGAGGATTTTATTTTGCAACTTGTATTTATAAATAGGCATGAAGTGGAAGAAAAAAAAACGTTTGAAAACAAAAATGGAAAAATTAACGATATTTTGCTTCCACTTTATTTCTGTTTACAAAATAAAAGTCCCAAAATAAAATCTAAATCTCCGTATCAAATGTTTTATATATATATATATATATATATATATATATATATATATATATATATATATATATATATATATATATATATATATATATATATATATATATATATATATATATATATATATATATATATATATATATATATATATATATATATATGTATATATGTATGTATATATATATATATATATATATATATATATAAATATTTATTTAAAATTTATAACATAAATATGGTTATGTTGGTTATTGGAATGTTTATAAATATGGATATGTTAGTTAATGGAATTCCGTATACAGCGATGATATACTTGGGTATATATATATATATATATATATATATATATATATATATATATATTTCGATTATAGGTGCAGTTCAATTTATAATTACATGAATTATTTCATACAAAAAAACAATATGGAAGTTAATGATTAAAATGGCGAGAATACATTTTCGAAAACAAATTTAATGAAGTACACTAACCTCGAACCTGTATATGAATGATATGATCCTTGTTTATAAATTCCAATTCAAATTCAGCGTTACGACCGCACGTTCCAAAACAATAACACATTTCTCATAGCATTTTTCGGATTACATCTCTATTTTCGTTGTCCTCTTATTACCGAGAAGTAAAAAACAAGAACAAAATCTATTTCCATACCTGAGGATGTCTGTAGGAACAGATGAAAGCTTTTCTAAAAAGACCTTATGCAACTGGAATTTATAAACAGGGATCACATCATTCATATACAGGTTCGGGGTTAGTGTACCTTATTGAAGTTGTTTGCGAAGATCTATTCTCATTTAAATCATTAACCTATATATTTGTTTTTTGTCTGAATGATTCATTATATATATATATATATATATATATATATATATATAGCCAATCGGATTTGACTGATAAGCTGTGATACAGTGAAAACAGCCTGTCTTCGGAGAGAGAGAGAGAGAGAGAGAGAGAGAGAGAGAGATAGTGTCATGGTCCGGTTCCTTGTACCACGTGATAGTCCAAGGTAGAACCAATAAAGGAGAACTCGAACACGTATAGAATAACACAGATATACAAACAGGGATATATACAGAGAAGCAGAAAAGTGTTAGTACGAACAATCAGGTTTAGTAGTAATTGTCTGAACGCGACTCTGTTCGGAATACCTCTGTTGGCAACAGTCTTCAGGACTAGACTTCTGCTTCCGCGCAGTATTTAATGCATATGGAATAGACCATTATGTTTTTTTTATGGTAAGGACCCATAACAGATAATGATAGATAGATAGATAGATAGATGAATGGATAGATGTGAACTAAGAATTCAATACTCAGAGGTGAAAGGCTGTTTCATGCTGGATCGTCAGACCGACTATCGTTGACTTCTATGTTCACTTCTAATTCATTTTTACTCTATCTAGGGCACTTTGTCCCATAAATATAGCACACCTTTATATATATATATATATATATATATATATATATATTGGTGATACTCTGTTTGGGGCTGTAGAGATGTTCCGTCTCGTCGCTTTTTTGTGTATATATCTATCTAAATATGTCTGGGTGCTTATGTATTATAATCTGATTGTGGTTTTGTTGTTTTGCGTGAGTTTAAGACCACATTCACACACTTTAGAATAAAAAATATATACACATGTATTGTCAAACGTAATTTCAACGAAAAATAATTGAATAAACATATATATTTTTTCTTTTCTCAATAATTTTGTAGTTTTAAACTTAATAGTGATTAAATTTGGATTTAAAATTGCCAATTTTAATTTTAATATTAAATTTTTATCATATAATTTTATAATTATTGGTTAGTATAAATTATTTTAATATTACACGTATTTTAAAGATCTGAATAGCTATTATAACATGATTTCGTTGTCAAGCTTTTTTGAATCTTTTCTGTACTTGGTTTTGATTGATTATTCTAGCTTTTGTAACAATGGTTCCCTAGTGTAGGATCGTTAATTAATCTGAAAACTTTAAAACCATTTATTTTATCTTCAACCATCATCATGATAAGACACCGAGTGTGTTGAAACAAAATGGCTATTTTTGTATTGATTTTATAACATACTTATGTTATTTTTTTTTATAAATAATAATCATATATATATATATATATATATATATATATATATATATAATTAATTATTTAAAAATTATAACAAATATGTTATAAAATCATCACAAAATAGCCATATTGTTTAACACTTATACCATCTGATCAAGTAATGGTTTTAAATGTAGAATAAAGGTTTTAAAACTTCAAATCAATCAAACACCTAATAGGAACCGCTGTTACATAAGCCGGAATGACCACTCAAAATACAAGTATATATATATATATATATATATATATATATATATATATATATATATAACAATGTCCTGACATTGAGTTGTACTTGGATTCTTTTCTCCACTTTAAGGTTCCATTATAATAATTTATTTCTCAGACCGGATCATGATAGCACTTCCAAAATGAAATGAAAAATTTTGTAATTCAACAGAGAGTGTAATAGGCGGTTAGAGACATTGTAGAGTTTAGGGAGGGTGTAATTTAATATCTCTGTCAATGAATATTCTAGAAATTTCTGTGGAAAAATGCGTTCTATGACAGATATGAAACGGCATCCTATGAGTAACCACAATTAAGCCTGGCGTGATATAAACTGTTCAGCCACAGAGCTTCCGGTTGAGCAATCCATTTCCTATGATATGTTGTCATTGTTTACGTTAGGATAAGAATTCAGAGCAGATATGGCGAGAATACATTTTCGAAAACAAATTTAATGAAGTACACTAACCGCGAACCTGTATATAAATGATATGATCCTTGTTTATAAATTCAAATTCAGCGTTCCAAAACAATAACACATTTGTCATAGCATTTTTTCGGATTACATCTCTATTTTCGTTGTCCTCTTATTATCGAGAAAGATCGGCGAAAATGTGTTTTGAAGCGTTAATTCGAACTCTGCTTAACCAGTAGGCAGTCTTGAAGAAGGACAACTTTGTATCCAAATCTGGTTTGCCGTGAGGTTGGCAACGAGGAGACTTTCTCTTTCTCTTCCTGTCCTGTCGAAGTTTCTGCTTCCGGGCAGAGAGATGGGTGGTACACTATTCCAACCTTTACTCCGGGCAGAATTTTGTGACGACCGCAGCCCTTGGGGCTATTGAGTACCTACCGGTTATGGAGCATCTGGACACCGAACCGACCATAGAGGAGCTTAGGAAGGCCATTGACAGCTTGGCCTTAAGGAAGGGTTCTGGCGGTGACGAGATCCCCTCTGACCTAATCAGGTACAGCTACCATTGCACAAGGTCCTCTACCAGTTGTGGAAAGAAGAGGCCGTACCTCAGGGCATGAGAGATTCCAAGATCATCACCCTCTACAAGAAGAAGGGTCAGCGAAGCGACTGCAACAACTACAAAGGCATCTCACTACTCAGCGTTGGGTGCAAAGTCTTCGCTCGGGTCATCTTGGTCCGCCTGCAGAAACTCGCCGAACGTATCTACCCAAAGTCTCAGTGCGGTTTCCATACTGAAAGATCAACGATAGGCATGGTCTTCTCCCCTCTGCCAGCTCCAGAAGTGCAGAGTTCAACAGATGCCCCTGTACGTCGCTTTTATCGATCTCACCAAGGCGTTGTAGGCCTCTTCAGAATCCTGGCCAAGATTGGCTGCCCAACCAAAGCTGCAGAGCTTGAGTCCTTCTACAGCGACATGCAAGGGACTGTGCACTTCAATGGCAAACCCCATGAGCCCTTCAGTATCTGCAGTGGTGTCAAACAATGATGTTTCCTCGCTCCCACTCTCTTCGCGGTTTTCTTCGCTCTTCGCTTTGCTTCTAAAGCATGCATTCGGCACATCAACGGAAGGGATTTACCTGCGTACGAGATCAGATGGCGGGCTGTTCAATCTCGCTCGCCTCAGATCCAGGACCAACGTACATGAGACCCTTGTCAGAAAGTCGCTGTGCGGTTTCCGAGCTGAAAGATCAACGATAGCCTTCTCCCTCCGCCAGCTCCAGGAGAGTTCAACAGATGCCCCTGTACGTCGCTTTTATCGATCTCACCAAGACGTTCGATCTCGTCATCAGAGAAGTCCACTTCAGAATCCTGGCCAAGATTGGTTGCCCACCCAAACCGAAGAGCTTGATTGAGTCTTTCTTCACCGACATGCAAGGGACTGTGTAGTTCAATGGCAGTACCCTATGAGCCTTGATGGGGAAATATACAAACCCGACACCGTGTATACAGGCTTTACAGGCTAGGAACGTCTTACGTTAAAAACTGGCCTTGTGCCACATCGTGGCTTGTGGGGAGGTTTATAAATAGAAAGGCTAGCAACGGTACCCCTTTAAAGAATTCTTTATACAGAAAGCGCAGTAGTAAAAATCTTTTCCTCTGCTGAAATGGGCCGGCTTTTTTTATTTCATACAATATGGAAATTTGAGCATTTTTAGCAAGCAGAAAAAAACAGTATAAATTGATAATATATAATGTAATATTTTTTTGTTGTTCTTAGTTTTATTGATGAAATTCTTTTTTTTTCTTTTTTAATTCTATTTTCCGTGGTCACGTGCTATTATGATTGTTTTCTAAAGTAACACTTTATTGTGTCTACTTTACGTGCTTCTATAAGGTTCAAAATCTTGTATTACACCATCTTGAAAGGCAATAAAAATAAGATGATTAAATAAAATTGAGTCGTTCGATGGAAACTTTTCTCCCTCTCTGTTTTTTTTTTTTTTATTTTATTTTTTATTTTTTTTATTTTTTTTATTTTATTTTTTTATTTATTTTTTTTTTTGCTTTCTCACAAATATTCGTTATGTCACGCCATTAGCAATAATAATAACGTTTTGTCAAAACCCTGAGATACTTTCTTAGTAATTGTACGTATGTGCTCTTCGCTATAGTACCTAGATTCTTTGGATTTAAGCCTAATACCACACTGACGTTGAGACCTCATCAATTTAGAGTTGAGCTGGCTAGATGTAGCCGTGAATTCGATGCTAACAGCTTTTTTTTTATCGCACTTCTCGCTTGTATAACTCTTAGAAAAATGATGAACACAACAGTTTTTGTCTTAGAAAAAAAAGAGAAGAACCTGATGACGATAATGTGCTAATGTCGAAAGTACTCGGAATAAAATGAATATACATTAAAATTGTAATTTTCTTTCTTCCTTTATTAAGGATACTAAGAAACTTGTCCGTAAATATGAGAGGATCCTGTTAAAAATAAGTAGACAAAACTTTTCTAAATTATTTAATGAAACATATCTTAATGAAAACAAGCTGCCAAAATATACGCAATATATATATATTGTGTGTATGCGTATATATATATATATATATATATATATATATATTTGTGTGTATGTGTGTGTGCGTATGTGTGTTGTGGCTTTTATAGAGCCAGTAATAAAGACACAAGAGAGGAATTGAGATAAATAAATAGAATAACAGAAACAGTAATACAAACAAATACAAACGAGAGTTTTACAGCAAGAATGTTCGGTCCGACTGTCAGAGCTGATTGCTGGAAACTTCACCCTCCCTCCAAAAGCTGGGAGAGTCCATGGGTGCGTGGGTAAATTACCATAAGAGTGTATATATTACGAAATGGACTAGGTTCGACAATTATTTTGATATATTTATTGTTTATAAGTCATTCTTTTAGATACATAAACAGCTACAGTCCTGGGTATGACGATAAACTACATCCGGCATCGGATAGGTGGAGCTCGTGCATATAAAAGTTTAAGTATTTTGCCAAGTATAGTTTGCCTCGGGCTATGATTATATATTTATGGATATATATATATATATATATATATATATATATATATAAACTACAGTTATGCAAAAGTTTGAAACCGCCCACAGAATGAGAACAGGATAAAGTTGAGAGAAGAGAGAAAGAAAGATCTCTTAGAGTGGTTGAAAAAAGACTGGAATCAATTATCAAACTCATACTTTGAGAAACTTTTGCAATAAACCCTTATTTCAAACATACGCTGCCTTGCGGCCATATCAAGTCACAGAAAAAGGCTTCAGGAGTAAAACTCGAGGAAAACAAATCTGGAGACGGAGTCCCTAGGGCAGTTCGCCGTTGTACCCAACCCGTTCTGGCAGCTCCTGCGACGGCACCGGTCCCAAACTATAGCGACCCTGTCCTTCTTTATGTCTCACTGGTGACGTAGAGAGGGGTACATGCTATATGGGCAACAGTCTGTCCTCCATATCACCTCTCCCAGGCTTTCATCCGACCACATCACTCTGCACCAAAACACCCTGCACTACACCCGGAGAGGACACCCCAGCTTCGCCTTTGGCGTCGATACAACACGCAGAACGGCAGTTACCGGTTATATGCTACCACCCGATTGGCGTAAACCGCTGCGCCAGGGAGATTTTCGGATCTCATTGGACAGGTACCGCCCGTCTCAAGCTGGGCAGCACCCAACCAGTAAGGTTATGTCCCGCCACGGTCTGACTTCTCCATTGGGTCAATGGAGATTAGGAGACATCATCCAACAAGGAGACGGCAATCTTCGCACCAGGCAGCAACAAGAATTTTCAAAAGAAATCAGCTCTAAAACTGGGCTGTTGGAACGTCCGGTCTACGCGACCGACCTCTCTGAAGTCCCCCAGGACATCAGCGACTTCAGGAAAACTGCCGTCATGAACGTTGAGCTCAAGAGCCTTCATGTGGCTACTCTTCAGGAAAAACGTCTGGCTGGCTCCGGATCTCTGAAGAAGAAGGACAACACATTCTTCTGACAGAGGAAGAGCTCTGAGGAACCACGCCAACATGTAGTAGGCTTTGCAGTGAAGAACAGCCTGCTGAATACGGTAGAACCAGGCAGCAACGGTTCCGAGATACTCCTCATGTTCAGCCTCAGCACCACAGCAGGCCCTGTCACCTTCCTCATCGTGTATGCCCCAACACCCCGTGCCACACCAGACACTAATGACGAGTTTTACGACAAAATAACAGCCACCATCAGCAGTATCCCCAGCATGGAACAACTTATTCTCCTGGGCGACTTTCACGACAGATTGGGTGCTGGTCATGATTCTAGGCCTTCGACTACGGACAGAGGCTGCTTGAACTATGCACTTACCACAACTTGTGCATAGCCAACTCCTTCTTAAGAACCAATCCAAAAAGCACAACGTCTCCTAGAGAGATCCACGCTCAAAGTCCTGGCACCAGATGGATCTCATTCTGGTCAGATGAGCGGCATTAAGAACGTCCTTCACACATGTTCTTACCACAGCGCGGACTGTGATGCATACGACTCCGTGGTGTGCTGCAAGATCAAGCTCCAGCCCAAGACGTTTCACCGCGGCAAGAAGCAGAGGAATCCTCGCATTGATGTCAGCAAGATGAGCCAGCCTGACCTTGTGCAACAGTTTGTCAAGAGGTTTTAGAACGAGGGGGGCAACCTCGCGGATCGGAGACTCTACCTCGGAGAAGTGGGCGGCCTTTCGGGGCACCATGCACCTTGGCCACCTTTGGGAGAAAGACCCCAAAGTCATATGACTGGTTTGAGTCCGCCGAGATGACTCCTGTCATTGTGGCCAAGAGCGCCCAAGAGCGCCCAAGAGCGCCACTCTTGCAGAATACAAGCGGTAACCCAACAAGAGAAAGCTGAAGATCGTCTGGGCTGCCAGGAGCAAAGATTCTCAAACTACCAGACGCTGCGCCAACGAGTACTGGACAGAGATTAGCGAAACCGTCGAGACAATGACAATTACAGGAAACATCAGAGGGATCTACTATCAAGACGGCAATGGGACCAGTGCTGAACAGAACAGCGCTCCTCAAATCTATCACCGGGGAAGCCATGGGAGAAACAGATCGAGAGATGAGTGGAACACTATTCAGACTTTTACTACAGGCAGAATGTTGTGACGACCGCAACCCTTGCTGCTATTGAATACCTGCCGGTTATGGAGGACCTCAACACCGAACCGAGAACAGAGGAGCTAAGTAAGGGCATTGACAGCTTGGCCTCAAAGAAGGGCTCTGGCGGTGACGGGACCCCCTCTGACCTGATCAAGCAAGACTGCCCTACTGCTACCATTGCACGAGGTCCTCTTAAAGTCGTGGAAAGAAGGGGCCGTACCTCAGGACAGAAGATACCAAGATCATCATCCTCTACAATAACAAGGGTGAGCGAAGCAACTGCAACAACTACAGAGGCATCTCGCTTACTCACTGTTGTGACCAAAGTCTTCGCTCGGGTCATCTTGGTCCGCCTGCAGAAAGTCGCCGAACGTGTCTATCCAGAGTCGCAGTGCGGTTTCCGAGCTGAAAGATCAACGGTAGACATGATCTTCTCCCTCCGTCAGCCCCAGGAGAAGTGCAGAGTTCAACAGATGCCCCTGTACATCGCTTTTATCGATCTCACCAAGGCGTTCGATTTCGTCAGCAGAGAAGGCCTCTTCAGAATCCTGCCTAAGTTTGGCTACTCACCCAAACAGCAGGGCTTGATTGAGTCTTTCTACAGCGACATGCAAGGGACTGTGCAGTTCAATGGCAACCCCTATGAGCCCTTCGGTATCTGTAGCGGTGTCAAACAAGGATGTTTCCTCGCTCACACTCTCTTCGCGGTTTTCTTCGCTCTTCTGTTGTATGCATTCGGCACATCAACAGAAGGGATTTACCTGCGTACGAGATCAGATGGCGGGCTGTTCAATCTCGACCGCCTCAGAGCCAGGACCAAAGTACATGGGGCCCTTGTCAGAAATATGCTTTCTGTTGACGATGCGGCTGTAGCGACTCAAACCCAGCGTGAACTTCAGTCACCGATGAACTGTTTCTCCCAGGCCTGCAGAGACTTTGGGCTGACCATCAGGATGAAAAAGACAAACGTCCTGAGATAAGGTACTTAAACACTACCAGCTATCAAAATTGATTACTATGAGCTCTCTGCGGTCCATCAGTTCACGTACCTTGGCTCCACCATTACTGACAACCTCTCCTTACACGCAGAGATTAACAATCGGAAAGGCTTCACATCATGTGTGTAGACCAATCGCAAGCTGTCGATGAAGACGAAGATGGCGGTGTACAACGCCTGCGTTATCAGCACACTGCTATATGGCAGCGATGCTTGGACCACGGACGTCAGGCTAGAAAGGCATCTGAACACCTTTCACAAGAGAAGCGTCCGCCGCATCCTGGGAATAGCGTATCAAGGCGCCCAACACTGAGGTCCTGTCTCAAGCAGGTCTTCCCAGCATGTTCACACTGCACAGACAGCTCAGAGTCCGTTGGTTAGACTACGTCCACCTCATGCCAGACGGCCGCATTCCCAAGGACGTCCTGTAAGGAAAGCTAGCCTTTGGAAGAAGACCCGCCAAGATGCGTTACTTCCATGTCGTGGAGTGCGACGTGAAAGCTGTGGACACCAACACAGAGTCCTGGGAGAGTCTGGCAGCTGTACGATTCAAATGGAGAGGAACGCTGACCAAACAGGGGAGGAGGAGAAGTTGATACAAATCGTCATGGAAAGGCGGGCCCGCAGAAAGCAAAGTGACAGCTTCAACAGACCAGAGGCAGGACACGACGTTTGTCACTCTCGCATTGGCCTCTCCCTTCACAGACGTCGATGCTCCAGCCAAGCAGACAGCTAGGGTGCTACCCATAGTCAACCTTAACCGAGAAAAGCCTACCACATAATGACGACGCATATTTTGTATGAAATTTCTCTGATATTCAGGCCGGTAAATGTTGACACCGTTTATTATATAAAGAGCATTTACTTAAATATTTGTATCCATAAGCGTGTTCATTTCGTTGAAAATGAATAAATAAACAAATAAAATAAACAAAATTATCCAGACACTTAACAACATTCTATGGTGCCAAAATCTATCTTACTCTGTGAATGAACAGACGATGCGCGTAAAAGAAAGACATAATTCGCTTTGAAATAGACACCCCACCCTACCTCAGCTTGACCTGTCCTTGAAGGTGACTGATATGTGGATA